TCGATGGTCGGCATGGTGGAGCCGACGGTATCGCTGGCGCCGGAGGCTGGCGAGGACTTCCAGGCGGTGGCGGCAGCTGTGCAGGCCAACCCGATGGTGGTGCTGCTCGAAAGTGGATGCTCCCACCACCTGATGGGGGCAAAGGCGGTCTTCGTCGACATGGCACCGAGCGACGATGTGAAGCATGTGCGCGGCTTCAATGGGGCGTTGCAGCCTGTCGAGGGTCGCGGAACCGTCGCTCTACAAGGGGAGGCCGGAAAGCGGGTCCTCATCCCCGACGTGCTCTACGTTCCGGGCGTACAGGCGAACCTGCTGTCTGCTGGCCAGCTGAAGGAGAGTGGAGTGCAGCTGCAGGGCGACGGCGACGACGAGATGCTGCTCGTCACAGCGACCGGGGAGGTGCTCGGTCGAGCACGCTACACTTGCCGAGTCCTCTGCACTGACCTTCGCCCCTGCTCGACGCGGTCGCCATCGACCGAGGTGTTGGCTCTATGGACGATCGTCTCGGCAACGAAGGTGACTCCCGACCGGCTGCACGCGAGGCTAGCGCACGTCGGCATCGACACGATCAAGAGCTCGGCGAAGCATGAAGTTGCTGTTGGGCTCGACATCACGTCGTCGACCGGAGCAAACTCGCCATGTGTCTCGTGCATCGAAGGAAAGCTGGCGCGGCACACCTTCCCCGACAAGGGCTCGAACGCCAAGGAGGCACTGGCTGTCGTGCACATTGACTTGTGCGGGCGATTTCGGGTGGCTGCCAAGGATGGCAGCTTGTACTTCCTGCCACTGAAGGATCGCCATACTCGGTTCGTATGGGAAATGCCGGTCGCTAAGAAGAGCAACGTGCTGCATGAGTTCCATAAGTGGCTGGTGCTGGTGGAACGGCAGACGAAGAAGTCGGTGCTGTCGCTTCGCTCCGATCGAGGAGGGGAGTTCCTCGGGAAGGCGTTCACCGACTTCATCGACGGAAAGGGCATCATCCACGACCTGACGTGCCCCTACACTCCGCAGCAGAATGGCATGGCTGAGCGGGAGATGCGCACGGTCGTCGAGTCTACGCGGACGATGTTGCTGCACATGGGCGTGCAACACCACTGGTGGCACATTGTTTTTCGATAGGCTGTCTGGGTGTGCAACTGCTTGGAGCGGTCAACGGCGCCACCGGGGACGACTCCGTACCAATTGCTGACCGGGACGAAGCCCGACCTCACGTTGGCGCGGGTGTGGGGCTGCATGGTGCAATTCATGGTTCCCGAGCAGCAGCACGGTGGGAAGCTGGCGCCGAAGGCTCGATGGGGACTTCACCTGGGTGTGTCGTCGGAGAGCAAGGGCTGGAAGGTGCTCGACATGACCGACAACAAGGTGGTCACGTCGGTCGAGGTGATCTTCTACGAGACGCTGTCGCTGGAGGTGTGGAAGGCGAAGTATGGGCCAGCATCGGGGCGGACGCAGGCCCACCCGCCGACGGATACCTCGACGGCGACGGTTCCATTGCTCGCCGAAGTCGACGAGCATGCTGATGAGGATGTTGTGGAGGTTGTTCCACCTCCCCCTGTTCTTGCTCCTCCCTCTCCCGTCGCAGATCGGCCTGTGTCGGCCACCAGCGATGAGGGGAGCCTTGAGGCGTCGCCTGTGGCGCCGGCCAGGGGCATCGCCGGCGGTCGACAAGGCGCCAAGCTTGTCGACCAGGATGGGAAGCCGTCGACGACCGGGGAGCAGCAGACAGGGGAGCCGGTCGAGCAGGAGGCAACAGCAGCGGTGTAGCCGACAGGGGAGCAGCTGGTCGAAGGGCCGAAGCAGCTAGTCGACGACGAGGACGTTGATGAGGAAGGGGAGCAGTCGGCGGGTGAGGAGTCCACCGACAGCGACGTAGTGGAAGTGCCGATCACGAAGCCTGAGCTGCGACGCACAAATTGAGCTCGATGGCCACCAGAGAGGCTGAGCTTCCACGCCTGCCTACCGCCAGCTGCCTTCACTACGGTGTACCATGAGGTCGACGACGACCTGTTGTACGACGACGCCGAAGAGGATGAAGACCTCCCGGAGCTCGACCCTGACGTGCATGCCGACCCCGAACACTGCTGGGACATCGCCACGATGACGGTGAAGGAGGCGCTGTCAAGCTGGAAGGGCGAGGCAGTGAAGGCCGCCATGGAAGAAGAGATCCGCAGCCTCATCGGTATGGGGACTTGGGAGATGGTCGAACGCCCACGAAGGGTAAACATCATGAAGAACCGGTGGGTGCTGACGATCAAGTACCGCATCGACGACACTGTCGAGCGCGAGAAGGCGAGGCTGGTCGTGAAGGGCTTCTCGCAGGTGTACGGTGTCGACTACGATGAGACGTACTCGTCTGTGAGCAGCCACGTCACGCTGAGGATCTTCCTCAGCATCGTCGCCGTCCTTGACCTCAACCTGATGCAGCTCGACATGAAGAACGCTTTCCTGTAGAGCAAGCTCGACAGGGTGCTCTACATGTACCAGCCGGAATACTTCGACAACGGGACCGGCTGGGTGTGTAAGCTGCTGAAGAGCCTCTACGGGCTGAAGCAGTTGCCGCTGTTGTGGTACAGGGCTCTCGACGGTGTGCTGCTGGGCGCTGGCTAGAAGAAGAGCCAGGTCGACGAGGCGCTCTACTTCAAGGCCGGCGGCGACGGAGTGACCTGCTGGGTGCTGGTCTACGTCGACGACCTGCTCGCCGCCAGCAGCAGCACCGCGATGATGAAGGAGTTGAAGGAGCTGCTGGAGGCTTCGAGCTGCGTGAGATCTCGCCGGTGGTGAAGTACCTTGGGCTGGAGATCGTGCGCGACAGGCCGGCCAGGAAGCTGTGGCTGCACCAGCAGGCGCTTCATCGACGAGGAGCAGGGCGGTCGAATTCCGAAGACGCTGGTCTCGGTCGACGCCTACGCTCAGCTGACGTTCGACAACGAGGAGGCTCAGGTTCGCGAGGAGGAGTACCGGCAGAAGGTCGGCTCGCTGCAGTTCGCCGCGACGACAACGAGGCCGGACATTGCGTTCGCGTGCAGCAGGGGAGCGGCCTCACGTTGAGGAGCGACCAGCATTGGCGTGAGGTCGACCGCTGCCTCGCCTACCTTGCCGACACCCGCGACACCGCCCTGGAGTTTGGCGGTGGACCAGAATCGTTGGAGCTGATCGGCTACGTCGATGCCAATGACGCGGGCGACAAGCACGGTAGGCTACGTGTTTGTCTACGGAGGGGCCGTCGTCTCCTGGTCGAGCTCGCGCATCAAGTGCGCGACGCTCTCTTCGATTGAGTTGGAGTACGTGGCGGCCACGGATGCAGGCAAGGAGGGACGCCGACTTCGTTTCCTTCTTGCGGAATTCAAGCTGCTTGACGCTGGGAAGCCAACCATCCTCCGCATCGACAACAAGTCGGCAATCACGGTCGCTGAGGGCTTGGGGCTGACAGGCAGCCTCAAGCACATGGAGCGACGCTACGCCTGGCTGCAGCACATGGTGAGGCGCGGGAAGTATTAGAATAGTGACTAGAATGCAAGAGCCATAGCTAGGGCTTAGCTAGCTAGGCAAGAGAAAATAGGCAAAAAGAAGGAGTTCACTAGCAAGCAGGTGGATACATATAGGAAACCCAAAGGGGTCGTACTCACTATAGAGTACCCCACTGCAGGCTAGACAAACTACACATTCTGACAGGAAGTTTGTGCTGAAGTACATCCCGACCACCAAGCAGCCGGCAGACTTCCTGACGAAGGCGCTGCATTATCCGGCTTTCAACCGGTGCTCTGTCGCCATCAGCCAAGTTTGTCTGGCCGACGTCGGCGACGGCGACGACGAGGTGTAGCAGTAGGCGCCGTGCCTTTCTGCACGGCTGGTGCGGTGATGGCGTGCTGTGTGTGGGGTGCACGCGGAGGACGAGTTTTCTCCGTGGAGTGCTACCGTGTGGCCTGGAGGCCCAAGCGTGAGCGCGGCAGGGGAGTGTTAACAGGAATGGAGTGTTGGCCCCGCCCTCGCTTGGGCAACGCCGACGACTTGGTCGGATGTACGGGAGTAGCAGCCGACCGTTCACAGTGGGAGAGCTGCTCGACAGGCATCATCGAGCTGCAGGGGACCGCTGTGGTGCTGTTGTCGACCAGGGAGTTCGATAGCTGCAACTGACTGGTCTGGGCGACGGGTGGGCCGTCGACCAGGAGGGGGGCAGTTCGATCGGGAGGCCTCCGTCGACCTGCAGCTCGACCAGGAGGTCGACGGAGTAGTTCGTCGACCTGACAAGTGAGCAGCGGTCGACGAGAGGAGCTCGGCGACAACCGCTGACGGTTCTGGTCGACGGAAGGGGTCCGTTGACCAGGGGGCAGCTCGACGGGAGCTGTGGCCGACCGGGTAACATGCTCGACGAACTCTGCGGAGGGACGCGAACGTCGTCGAGGCCGCGATGGCACAGGCGATTGCGGGATGGTATCCCGAAGTCAATGTGGCTCGTCAGGCGCAGACAACAGCCGACGGATGCCCAAGGAGGCAAGTCGGGCCAATCATTTGCGCGCACCTGCGAGCGTGCACACTGCTGTGTTCTACGGGGCAACGCTGGACAGCCGCTCTGCTGCAGCGTTGGCACGCCGTCGACCTGCTCTGTTGGCAGGTCGCCTTTCCGCAGTGCTGGCGCGACTCCTCTACGCAACGCTGGCAGGCGGTCAACCAAGCTGTGCTGGCGGTCGACCAGGCTAGCTGCAGGGTTGCTAGGTGCCTGATGTAGTCATTGTTGCCATCGCTTGTTGTATCATTCTGTAATTCCAACTTTGGTAGTGGAAACTCTTGCCGATTTTTCCCGTGAATGTGCAAGCACTAAGGAACCAAGCAAAGCTACGATCACCTCTAGTAGTTCGTGCCAACCCCCGTAGTCTAGCTCACTACCATTGTCGAGTGACTTTCCGCACTTTAAACCCAATGAGAAGACACAAAGTCTATCTTCTATTGCTTCCCTGTGTACCCCGGTCCCTGCTATACCCACAAAGTTTCTTGCCATTCCCATGTGCCATTCCTTCCCATGTGCCATTCCCATGTGCCATTCCTTCCCCATGTGCCATTCCTTCCCATGTGCCATTCCTTCCCATGTGCCATTCCCTTGTGCCTTTCCTTCCCATATGCCATTCCTACATGCCATTCCCTTGTGCCATTCACTGCCTTTCCTATGTGTCATTCCCACGGGCCTTTCCCATTGCCAGTTAAGTACGTTGCCAAGCTGAATCCCACAAAGATCAACGGGAAATTAGTCGGCGACAAAGGCGCATCGGGACAATTCGTCATCAAAGGAATCAAGTAATATAGCTCTATGTGGTTACTCACGTCTGGTGTTATTGGTGCTAGGTTGTGCCCTTTATTCCTCCTGAACAGAAGGCCACCTAGGCTTTCCATCACCCACCCCCCACTCCCCGCTGCCTTCTTCCACTCCCAACCCCCCTTCTCCTGCCCTCCCCTTCTCCACATTCCCCCCCAACCCTAATTCTCCCGCCCTCCCCTTCTCCAAATTCCCTCTTCAACCCCCCTTCTCCCGCCCTCCCCTTCTCCACATTCCCCCCCAACCCCCCTACTCCCGCCCTCCCATTCTCCACATTCCCCCCCAACCCCCCTTCTCCCGCCCTCCCCTTCTCCACATCCCCCCCAACCCCCCTTCTACCGCCCTCCCATTCTCCACATTCCCCCCCAACCTCCCTTCTCCCGCCCTCCCCTTCTCCACATTCCCCCCCAACCCCCCTACTCCCGCCCTCCCATTCTCCACATTCCCCCCCAACCCCCCTTCTCCCGCCCTCCCCTTCTCCACATCCCCCCCAACCCCCCTTCTACCGCCCTCCCATTCTCCACATTCCCCCCCAACCTCCCTTCTCCCGCCCTCCCCTTCTACCCATTCCCCCCCAACCCCTCTTCTCCCGCCCTCCCCTTCTCCACATTCTCACCCAACCCCCCTTCACCCACCTTCCCATTCTCACCCCCCCCAACCCCCCTCCCTCCCCTTTTCCCCCTCTCTGTCCCACCGTTGCGACTATTTCCCCCCATGTCCTGTTGGTAGGTTCGCGTTGGCAACATATGTGTTGGACTGGCAAATTCATGCCTCGAACCTGAGGTCAGGAGGAAAGACGCCGCTCGCAGCCTTTGTGCCTTGACTGTCCCACCTTCGCGACTATATCCCCCCATTTTGGCAGGTTCGTGTCGGCAACATATGTGTTGGACTGGAAAATCTATGTCTTGAACCTGAGGTCAGGAGGAAAGGTGCCCTTCGTATCCCCTGGGAAGTCCTGTGCTCCTGATTCCACCGATGGAGACGCGTTCGGCGGATGGGTGAACATCACAAGCACGAAGGCTGGTAACCGCAAGCGTTACAGCTTCGTTAATTCGGCATATGAGCATAAAGCGAGCTTGGGTCAATTGCGTCAGGAGATTGGGGCGATGGTCCTAAAATTTTTTACGAAAGTTGGTTATGGGGGCTTGGCAAAGTCACTCTGTGGAAAGATAAAGAAAGTGAAATAGTAGTAATATGGGCTGTAGTTTTTGGCCTTGATTCGTCAAGCTTGGTTGTTCATGTCAAATATTATAGCCTTCAGTGATTCGTGTCATATGAGGTACAGCAATTAGGGTTAGGTTTATGTACCCCAACCCACAATAGTCAATCATAATTCGTTTTTTGACATGGTGTCACCTAGGTAAGGATCCTGTGAGATCCCGTTCCTCCTGTATCCTAGCGCCCGTTGCACTCGTACCGTTCCCTAGCGCCTGTCACGCCCGTTCATCTCGTTCCCTAACGCCCGTAGCGCCTGCCAGTTGCGTCGCGAAAGTCTATCCCGTCCCGTCGCGTCGTGCCCATCTATCCCGTCCCGTCGCGTCGCGCCGATCGCGTTGCGCCTGCCCGTCCCGTCCTGTCGCGTCGCACCTGCCAGTCACGTCGCGCCCCTCTGTCACGTCCCGTCGCGTCGCGCCTGCCCGTCCTATCCCGTCGCGTCGCGCCTGCCTGTCCCGTCCTGTCGCGCCGCACCTGCCCGTCATGTCCCGTCGCGTCGCACCTGCCCGTCATGTCCCGTCGCGTCGCGCCTGCCCGTCCCGTCCCGTCCCGTCCCGTCTCGTCCCCTCCCCTCGTGCCTGTTGCGCCTGCCCGTCCAGTCGCACCACGCCTGCCCTTCCCGCCACGCTGCCCCCGTCTCGTCACGTCCCTCCCTTCTCACCACGTAGCGCCGTGCTTGCCGCGCCCTACTTCGGCCTTTTTTGCGATTTCCACCAGTAGTTTCCTGACCTCGCCTCGCTTGAGCGCTCTGCTGACTTGATCGCTCACCTGCGCTCACTTAATTCTAGCTACCGCGCTGCCTGCACTGACACACAGCTTGCATTGCTCTCCCCCCCCCATGGCGATTACTATCTATTTCATCGCCACTAGCCTTCCTGACCGCCTTGCCTCGGTTCATGATGCGCTTATTCTGAAGCACCCTAGCGAGCTCACTATCGGCGTTCTTGATTCTACCCTCAAGGATGTCGAGAGCAACCTTTTCTCGGTAGCCTCCGCCTCTGGCGCTGTGCCATTGTTCCATGGATGCATTGTCCCTCAGTTGCCCACCTTTATTGCCTCCCTCGCCACTGCTGCTACTGACGTGACCGCAGCTGCTGTTATGAATTTTGCGTGGTCTAGAGCTAGGAGTGGCAGGAGGCGCGGCCAAGGTGCGAGCGGCAGTGGAGGTGGCGTTGCGGGCGGTGGTGGCGGGAGTGCAGGAGGTGGTGGAGCACCTGGTGCAGCGTCTAGTGACTCCCCTACTGCAGCTGGTGGAAGTGACGCTCGGGTTAGTCGGGCACCTGCACGACTGCTAGCTGTAGGTGCTGGAGTGGCGGCTTGGTACCTGACTCTGCGACAGCAGCAGACTCTCCTCTCACAGCGGCCACAACAGCAGCAGGGGCAGCAGCAGGGGTCAGGACCCCTTTAGCTGTCGTGTGGTAACGCCCACCCTCCCTGCCCCTATCTCGTCCAGACATGTTCTCCACAGCGTCATGGAGATCGCCCGCACCTCCATGGAGATCGCCCGCACCTCCATGACTCACACCCGTGCCTCCCATTTTCTGTGGCCCTGCGCGGTTCAATACGCTGCTCACCAGCTGAACCTCTGGCCACGTGTCTCCCGGCCAAAGGTTTCACCTACCAGTCTTTAGATCGGGTCCCCTGGTGCTGCGTCGCGTTTTTGTGTCTGGGGCTGCTTGGTGCCTGGTCGCGACACCTCCGCGGACAAAATCTCGCCTCGCGCCATTCCCTGTTTTTTCCTTGGTTTCCCATATTACTCCTCTGACTTCACCTTCTACCACCCTCCCCTTCACCGGTTCCTTGACTCTCGTGACGTTAGCTTTGACGAGTCAGTCCCATACTAAACCCGGTACCCTTGTCGAGGTCTCCCAGTTCCTCCCCCCCCTCTCCCCCTCAGGTGACGTCCCTCCTCACAGCCTACTCCATACCCTGCGGGAGCTAGTGTTTGTGTCGAGGACCGTGGAGGTGCTAGCTCTACAGGTGTTGGTGTTGGAGCTGAGAGTGTACCTGCTGGAGCTAGCTGATGGCTCTCCAGGGCGCTGATGCGGGAGATGAGCTGCTCGAGGAGCGCTGAATCCACGGTCGTTGTTGTAGAAACGACATTGGTGGAGGGATGTACTGGAACTTCTCCAGCCTCTCCGCGTTCTGCGCCTAGCGTGATGTTGCCCTTGATGTAAGATAAGTTATAATGAAGTATTCTTTTGAAGCCTTTTTGCAGTTCATATAATCCAAACTAGCTCTCATACCATGTTAGAGTAAGGATCTTTTGGATAGGATTGGAATGCCTTAAAGAGTTGGTAGCGGAAGTCTTGTGGTAGGAACTCTGATCATATTTATGAAAATGACAAAGTTGATTAAATCACAGATTACATACACAATAAATAGACCTAGCTAGCCATGTACTCTGAGGGGTACATTCCCTTATTCTAACTGCTTTACAGGCAATTCTACAGTGACTCTGGCTATTGCATTGTTTCTTGTTACCGAGTCGCTGCGTGTAACCGTACAGACGGTTACGCCTGTTGCCATTCCTTGATGGTAAGTCAATCGTCGGTCTAGATGGTCAACAGTCGCGACATTTGACTCTTGCACTGTTGACCTTCCGGCCCTTGATACGAGCTGATCCGATACTGCTGCTAGCGCTGCTTCGATAGTGACGGGTGCGATATAGCTGCACCTACGGGAGTGTCGAAACTTAGTTCCTTCATACTCCAACACTCCCCTTCATTCCTGGAGGTGTGCCACGTGGCTCTTTCGAATGACTCCGCACAGGTCCGAGAAGTACTGGAAATTCCGACTTTGTTAGAAAATCTCGCCAGTTGGGCAGTAGGTGAGCTGGACTTTCCCTTTGTCGATTTCGTCCTTGACAAAAAGGTTATGCAGGGCGATGTGTGAGAATAGTGAGCACAGTGAGGAGCCATAGCTAGGGTTTAGCTAGCTAGGCAAGAGAGAAATGAACAAAGGAGGGTTTTCACTAGCAGCAGTTGGGATACATATAGCAAACCCTAACAGGGTTGTACTCGCTATAGAGCACCCCACTACAGGCTAGATAATAACATTCTGACACGATGTGTTTCATGTATTTGACGAAGCCAGGGTTGTTTGGGATCTTGATCGCGCTCTGGTTGTCGCAGAGTAACTTGAAGGACCTGTTCATCGTCGTCTTCGTTTCCTGTAGGAGCTCCGTGAGGTAGAGTCATTCGCGAACTGCTGCACTTGCTGCGATAAATTCTGCTTCTGCTGACGAAAGGGCGGTGAGCTCCTACTTCTGTGAGTTCCAAGAGATGGTTCCTGTAGGCTCAAGTTTGAAAATGAAGCCTGCGCGGGACCTCCTGTTGTTTGCATCCCCAGCATGGTCAGCATCTACGTAGCCGGTAAGCTGTAGGGTAGCCGTTAGATTCGTCTTGTAGGTGAGGCCGACGTCGGGCGTAGAGATGAAGTACTGTAAAGCGCGTCACAGGTCTGTCATGTTCTCCCCTTCAGGTCGGCACAGGTATAGGGCAAGCTAGCTGGCGATGTGACGGTGGCGAACAGTAGACACCCGAGCTGTTGCTGGTAGAGACGGTGGTCAGCCGGTGAGAGCGAGGTGGTGTTGGGCTCGTGGTTAGGCGGAGGAGTGAGAAATGGGGTGGTGATGCCGACGGGAGCGATGCCGAACTTCTTAGTGAGGGTCTCGGTGCATTTCGCGGCGGAGAGGTGGATCGTGTCGGCGGTGAGGTGGATCGTGTCGGCGGTCTAAGTGACGTTGAGGCAGAGGAATTGAATGACATCGGGATCAATGGTCGCTTCGAGTTTCTCCTGGATGTCATGCTCGAAGCGATCGAGCAGCTCTGTGTTATCCCCGGTGTAAAGCAGGTCGTCCACGTAGTCGACAAGTAGGATGAAGCTACCGCGGGACTCGAGGCGGTACATCCCCTAATCATGGGGAAGCTGCTGCAAGCCGAGTTCGATAAGGACGGTGTGGAGGTACTGCTGCCACAGGCATGGTGCCTGCTTCATGCCGTACAGGGACTTTTGCAGGAGGCAGATGGTGTTGCCGTCTTCCTTGAAGGCGTGCGGCTGCTCAATGTAGATGATGGCGTTGACGATCGCGTAAAGGAAGGCGTTGGAGACGTCGATCTAGCGAAGGGGGTGCTGCTTCACGGCAGCAACGCAGAGGAGGATTCGCACAGAGGTATGCCGGCCGACATGTGCGAATGTCTGATTGTAGTCCACAAACTGAGTCTGCTCGAATCCGCGGACGACCCAGCGTGCTTTGTACTTGTCAACACTCCCATCCACGAGAGTCTTGATCCTAAAGACCCACTTCCCTGTGAGAATTTTTCTCCCCTTTGCGTGACGTTGTGGTACCAGCTTCCAGGTGCCGCGCCGCTGGAGTGCGCGACTTCGGCGGCCATGGCTACTCTCCATTTCTCAGCATCAGGCTCGTTGAGGGCCTGGCGAACGGTGGTGGGCTCGACCAGTTGCTGGTTACCCCGAACAGCGACGGCGAGTCCAAGGATGCGAATGCCTGTGAGGTTGGATTCAGCCACGTTGTCGTCGTCGCTAGGGATGTGGCGAATGGTGTCGCGAGAAGGATTGCGGGCTGGGCCTTCGTCCATGGGTGAGTGCATTTCTGCACTTGCGTAGTCGTGCTGTGCCTGTACTGCTTCATGTTGATCAGTTTGTGTTGGAAAGATGTGGCTGTGCCAAACTCCTCCGTAATGGGTACGAAGGGTGCCTCATCCTCTATTGCCTCGTCTGGTTGTTTGCCTGCCACGTTGACGTCATCCTTGTCTGGAAAATAATGTCCGGTGCGTTTTGTGCAGTGCGGTGCTGTCGGTACAGTGGCAGAGTCAGTCTTTCATAGAAGATGCAGTCACATGAACGCGTGAGCTGGTGGGTGGCGAAGTCCAGGATTGTCCAGGTGTGGTATTCAGATTCGATTCCGAGGTGAATGCCCCAACAGGCACGATCTTCAAATTTCCCGGTCCGGGCGGTATGGGGGCGGTACTGTACCATGCACCCGAAGACCCGCGGCATGCGTGTGTCGGGGTGTTTCCCGGTCCACTCCTTGAAAGGTGAGGTGTTGTTGGGCAGTGCTTTCGAGGAAAGCATGTTGTGCAGTCGAAATGCATGCGCCATTGCAAAGGGCTAATATTTGGTTGGCATAGCTGACTGCTTCATGAGGGCTCGCATTTTTGTCGCGAGGCTCCTGTTGGTTCGCTCCGCCAATCCTTGTTGCTCGTGAGCGTAGGGGAGAGAAATCATCCTCTAGATTCCCTTTCGCTTACAGAGGGTTTTAAACTCCTCTGCCTGGTGCTCCATGGCTCCGTCCATTCGATACGCCTTCAGCTTCTGTCCTTTGCTCTGATTTTCCGCCATGCTTAGCTAAACTTCGAAGCACTGGTAGGCAAGGTATCGGTTGCTGACGTTCACGGCCCAGACGAAGCGAGTGTCGGCGTCAATGGAGGTAAGTGTGTACTGCTCTCCTCCGACTCCTTTTGCCGTGAGCACTAAGAAATTGATGTAGACCTTCTCGAGCGGTTTGTAACTTTCAGCTCCAGGGATCTTCTCGGCGAAGGGTGTGTGACGTAGCGCAGCTGCCGAGCAGACGTTGCAGTTGGGTAAGTCGGTTCATGGCTTGAGTAGCTTTCCCACTGGCAGCAACAGTGCGTCTACTGCAAAGACGTTTGCGTTGATGCAGTTGTTAAGCACTTCAATTAATGGGTGCCCAAAGC